GACTATACTTAAAGAAACAGCATAATGAAATAAGAGAAAGTGTGGCAGGCCAAAATTCTAAAAGAAATATAAATGCAGGCCTGACACTAACACATTGGGATCTTGAATCTCAGGCATGTAGATTTTTAGGTGACAAGTGCTTTTAGCAACAAGCATTTTAACTTTGTGAATTGCATGAGTTATCATCTAGTACACAATTAGTCAACAGTCATTTAAATAATGCATCAAAGAAGCAATATTCATCCTACAAGGTTTTTTATATTGCTTTCCACGATATCCATATTCTGTATCTATCTGCTCATTCATACTTAGCTAATTTATGTCTGCAGTTCTCTTATTTCTAACCCTTTATATCTTTATGCCTTCAAGAAAGAGATTTTTCTTTAAATTAAATTTCCACAACCTTCATAGTAATTGAATGTATTTACATCATTCTCTGAATGGAGAAGAGCTAAGTGATCTTATAGGAATTGTCAGGCCTCAGTTTTATGGAGCCCCTGTTAAATAAAAATCCTGAGAGCTAGGGTAGATTTTATGGAGAAATCAAGACACTCAATAATCTACTTTTTGATGCAACTTCTATATATAAGTTGAAATCTACATCCTGAATTTTTATATAGAGATTCTAATAACTAAATCAGTTCTGGATTTAGGAAATAATACATTCTTTTTCAGATGAGAAACACAAAGAGTGTGATAAGCAACTACCAAAATATATCTTTTTTTAGCTATTTAAAGAACCGCCTACATTTGCATTGTTACACACTTAATTCCATTTGACGGAGAACAATAAAGCTCAGAGATATAAAACTGGTCCATAATTCAGGCTAGGAAATGCAGTTAAGGCTTGGTATACAACTGAGCTTGTACATCTTTGCTGATATACTGCAGACATCTCAATCTCCTTCCTATTCATATCAGATCTATTCTCTCTCAATAAAATAAACAGTTGTATCTCCCTGCGTGTTGTGAGTACCTTCTGCTGGCTTTTATATATTGCAGCAGTGCAATAAGAGATAAAATCACAGTACTGTAAAATGTATGGCCTTTTAACTGTGCACATGACTGAACATCCTTGCTGATGCTAGTCACTCAGTCCTCCAAGTAATTTTTCTGTGCAGTATGTGCATGTCAGAATCTTTGAGTGACTCCTGAAGAAAATGGGCACATGTGCATGTATGAGCTCAGGGAGGCCTGGGGAAGGAAAGCACTGGTGAGTGTATGCAAGCAAGAGGAGGTACATGTGTGTACAGGTGAGCAAAGTGGGGGGGAAGAGAACGATGTGTCTGTATGAGTAAGTGAAGGAAGCAAAGAAGGTGTGACAGTAGGGGTAGAGATACTTTCAAAGGACTTGTGACAATCCCTGTTGACTTCCCCATTAACTTTGCTTTTGCGAAGCAGGAAAGGAAAGTCACAAATGGCAATTGTGACTGTGGTACAGCTGGTTCATCACCACTTCAGATACAACCTGTATCAAAATTCAGATCACTTCATTTTTAACATCTTACAAAAGAAAGGCATAAATTATACTAATATGTTACATATCCGCACACATTAGTCAATTTATGATTTTTATATAATATACATAAAAACCCTTATTTTCTTAAACTGATTTCAATATGTAGTTTAATGTAAGACTATATACCCTGTTTACCAACAACATACAAGCTCCTTACTGGTATCATTGCAAACCAAATTTATGGATACTTGGANCAATATGCTGACTCTCTGTAAACCGCTTAGAGAGGCCTGAAAGGCCTATGAAGCGGTATATAAGTCTACTGCTATTGCTATTGCTATATTGATTAGTGCTCTCACATGGGTGAAAACTGGCTGAAACTGACCAGATCCTAAATCAATTTCACGCTTTTGTTTGCCTCCTAAGCAGTTCACTAAGGAAAGAGCCCTTCATAGGGTATTCCTTTTGATGTGTATTCCCTATTGTGCGCCTACTTACACTCTTGTAATTCCTTCCTCTCCAATGAATGTAAATACAAACCTCAATTATCCCAGTGCTGGGGTGAACATTTCAAATTTAGCAACTATATCACTTACTCACTGAGTGATTGCAATCACTAAAAAAGGTCTATCTATAATCTATGTTTGTGAAGGCGAACCTCTGGCACGTGTGGCATGCAGAGCCCTCTGTGGGCATGTGCGTCATCGCCCCAGCTCAGCCAGCTGGTCATCGGGTTTCTGAGGCGCACATGCATGCCAGCCAGCTGGTTATCAGGTTTCCAGCGCTCTGGCACATGGGCACCATCCAGTTTGGGCACTGTGCCTAAAAGATTTGCCATCACTGATCTATGTGTCCTATTTTTTTGTCATTTACGCATAACTTTCAACTTTTTATTTTCTCTTGACAGACACCAATACTTTTGACTCGAATGCCTTCATTTGAATTGCTCTGTCATAAAATTTATCTACTTGTAAATCATTCATATTTTCAGCTGATAATCACATGGCTGAATACTTTCATCGTGTTCCTCCTGCTCGGTATACAGTAAGCAATTCACACACAATTTACTTCATCATAACCACTAATC